GTGGTGAACTCCTTGAACTCGCTGTCATGGATGGTGAAATAGGGGCGGTAGTCACAGCAGAACTTGAGGGGCTGCAGGCAGCTGTGGGGCGGCGGGGCGGGGGGGGGAGCGTGGCAGGGCCAGTAAACACGGCAGGGGCCGGTCCAGTGCCCCAGCCAGTCCCGCCCTGTGCCGCCCGGCATACCTGATCAGAGCCAGCACCAGGTCAGAGGCCATGGCAGGTGAGGGCGCCAGGACCAGCAGGGGCTCCCCCAGGAGCATGAGCTCCCACAGAGTCTGCACGTGGGTCAGCACTGGCTGGAAACACCTGTGCGGGGTGGGGGCGGTCAGGGAAGCCCAGCGGGGGCAGAGCCTGCCAGCCCTGACCCGCCCACACCTGGCACTGCCCTGGAGGGAAGGCAGTGAGGACATGAGGCCATGCCGAGGGGTGTCTAGGGTCGCCCCCCACTCCGCCGGCGTGCCTGCCTGGCCCTGCACTGCCTCTTGGGCAGGGCGGCTCAGTCTCCAAAGCCTGGCTCCCTCATAGACCTGCCTGGAGAGGAGTAGCCTCAGGCAGCGAGTATCTCCCAACACAGCTGCTCCCTCCCTGCACCTGACCTCTGGAACCTTCCTGCCCACCGTGCCCACCTCCTCTAGGTAGAGGCACCGGGACCCTGGGCTCTTCTTCGGTATAATTGTCCCTCATGGAACTGGCCAAGGGTTCCTTCCTGATAGGCGGCCCCTGCCCTGCACAGGCTCTACCTCGGGGGACCCCTCCCCATGTATTCAGGTAGCAGGCGGCAGCCTGCCGGGCTCACCTGAACAGGTCCAGTTCGTGGACACTGGCAAGGACCACTGGGGTGGGCAGCAGACTCTGAGACGAGGGGCGGGCAGGGTGAGGCCGAGGGCAAGGCTGGCATTCCCAAAGCCGCAAGCAGCACCCCTCACCCCAGGAGAGCACTGGGGGCCGTGGCCCCTGCCCTGCACCCCCCCCCACCCCCACAGGGCCCCTAACAAGTGGGGCGGGGAGGCCTGAGGAGGTGGGAGGTTTGAGGCAGGTGTGAGGCCCCGGGCCCAGGAGCGGCACCCCTACCTCATGGCTGCACTGCTTCGGAGGACTGTATTCTGGCTTGTCCACCCTGGATGGGATGCGAACCTGGGAGAACAAAAGGAACAGACGCCAGCTGGGAGTGGGTGTCCCCAGGAACCTGCGGCCTTCCCAGCCCAGCCAGCCAGCTCTCACCTGGAGGACTACTCCCATGACAGGCAGCTTCAGGGTCTGCCCAGGCGTGGGGGCGGGCCACTGGTCAATCTCACTGCACACTGTGGACACAGGTGGCCAGCGTCAGGAGCCTGCCCCAAGCAGCAGGTGCCTGTTGAAGCCACTGGGGGCTACGGCCGGGATGATGAAACCACTCTGGCAGGACCTGACAGCCACTCACCCGCTTCCAGGCACGGTGCCAGCCTGTCGAAGTACTCAGGGGCAATGAGGCCCAGCAGCGCCTGGAACAGCCGGACGAAGGGCAGGCGGGATACCAGCACCAGAGACTGCAGGGCGCGCCGGGCCGGTGAGATGGAATCCCAGCCACTCAGGAGTCTGCAGGGACCCCTGAGGCCTGGCTCAGCCAGAGTCTGCCCGGGGCAGTACATCCCACAAACCCCACAGGACACCTGTCCCCAGAAATGGCCCAACTTGGACCCCAGGCTTATTAGGAGAAAACCCAAAGCCTGCCTCTGACGAGACAGGGAAACCTCAGGCGACAGCAGAGTGGGGCTGGACCCTGGGCCTTCTCAGGAAAATGTATGTGGCCAATATTTCTGGGGTGATCGTCCCAGGAGGCAAGCAGCTTTTGCTTATGGTGTCTGAGTTCAAGGTGGAAGTTCTCCTAATCTTGAAAGCGTGGCGAGAGCCCCTCCCCAGTCAGCAGCAAGGAGCAAGCAGCAGAGCCCATGCCCCAAAAGGCCAGCAGGAGAGCTGGGTACAGCGGCAGCCATCCCCCACCCCTTGCTCCCAGGTCGGGCGGCCTATGTGGCCCAGGGCAGTGAGCTCTGCCCAGTGCCAAGTGGCTGGGGGCTGCAGGAGGAGTGGGCACTACTGGAAGGTCAGGACCCCCAGCCTGTTGGTCCATCTGTCCTGATGGCCACCAGCCCTGCCTTATAGCAGCACCACCCCCGAGCAGCCAGGTGGCTCACCTTCTGGAAGTAGCCCCTCTTCACGGAGCTGTCCTTCACCTGCCTGAAGTACACGTAACCAAAGTAGTGTGCCGGCTCCCTCTGGAAGGGGAGCAGTGTCAGCTAGGCTGAGCCCACTGCCCACGCTCCGTCCCGCCCACCCAACTCCCTGCCAAGGCTGCTACAGCTCTCCCCAGCCAGGAGAGTCCTGGGCTCAGAAGGTGGGTGACACCTCTGCAGAGAAGGTCCCTGCAAACACGGCGGTCCCTGCAGCTCCGGGGCCTGGGTGCACCGGAGGCTTACGCTGGCCTCCACACACTGGGCCACGCCCTGCCGCACACACAATGCACCGAAAAGCTCCAGGGACCCTGGAGAGTCCCCGGAAGAGTGAGCCTAACCCCAGCAGAGGCCAGGATGATGAAACAACTCTGGCAACTCCGGCAGGACTTGACAGCCAGAGGAGGTGGGGGCGCCTGTGCTGCAGGCGCAGAGGGGCTGGTGGCGCTTGGAAAGCCTACTGGCTGGGCCTGGCCAGTGCCTGTCCTCCCACACAGGGCCCAGGTGCCCTAAAGGGGCTGCTCACACCAGCCCCACCCTGGCCTGTGGGGAGAGGCAGCCACACTCACTTGCAAGGACACGGGAGCCCCACTGTTGTAATGTCTGTCTTCCGCATGCCAGGGGCTCCTCTGCCCACCACACTGCCGGATGCGGAAGCTGAACTGAGTGTCTCCGAGGCAGCCTGGGAAGGGAGGCAGCCCCCACCAGACTGTGTCAGGGTGGAACCAGAGACGAAAGCCCAGCTTGCCAGGAAGGCTGTGTCCTAATTCATGCCCCTGAGAGTTTCACAATAAACACAGGACACAGAAGCACCAGGGACAGCCCCAAAGCATCCGTGCTGTCAACTAGCACAGGTGGGATACTGGAACACCCTGGTGTGGGGCCCGGTCAGCTTGCCTGGGACAGAAAAACAGGCCTGCCTGGACAAGAGCAAAGGCCAGGTCCCAGGTCCTGGTGGCCGCTGTGTTGAAGTAAGGGGTACCAGATCCGCCGATCCCTCTGCCCAGAGACCCTTCTTTCCACGAGAATCTGGGAACGTGACCACCACTGAGGCAGTGTAGAGACGGGAGTGGGGCTGGTGGGGCTCTGGGACAGCCTCACCTCCCACCTCCTTCCTGTTTCCCGCCAGCCCCAGAGCTGACATCCCAGTTGGGGCTGCCTACCTGAGTGGGAGTCGGGAAAAGACAGGTAGCAGATGCTGCTTTTCTGAAACACAGGAAGCCCGGTGAGGCCTGGCTCAGTGCAGGGCCACATCCATTCCCAACAGGCCAGGACCCACCTCCTTGTCCGTGAGCCGGAAGTCACTGGGGTACACCAGCTGCAGGGACACAAGCACCGGGTAACATCGGCTGGGCAGGCAGTGCCACATTGGTGGGCAGGAGTGTGTCCCTTGCCCCCTCCTCCTCTTCCCTGGGCTCCCTCCGGGCCCTTCTCAGCACAAGACCACGCTATCCTTCCCCTGCCTTGGCCGCCACACCTGGGCAAGCTCCCCAACTCCCTCCTCAGACCCCTCATGCAGACTGTGGTTGGCCCCCCTGCCTCCACCATCTCCAAGGTCTGCCCCCACAGCTTCAGAAGGTGGTTTTCAGAGCCCCCCCCGTGGCCTCCTCTTCCTTCTGGAGTGTGATTACATGGCCCTGCTTGCTGGCCCCTGCCCCTCCTGCTCTCCACCTCCTGAACCCCTCTACTCAGCCAGAGTCTTGGGCTGTACCATCCCCAGACTTGCTCCCCTAGACGGGACTTGTCAACCTCATCTCCTGGTTTCGATTCAGGTGTCATCCGAGACAGCGGCATCCCTGCCTGTCAACAGCACCTTGAGTGCTTTCACCCCAACCTCTGCCGTTCTGGGATCCAGGAGCTTCTGGCTTGTGCCCCACCTGGAGCGAGAGCCCCAGGAGAACACCGTGGGCCCCAGCCATGTCAGAAGCAGGCCCTTAGTGATCTAGGAGGCAGGCCACGCCCCAGAGGGGCAGGGGGCTGAGGCTTGGCTCTCAGGCTCAGCAACTCCATGCACAGGCCCGTGGCCAGAATGGGTTTCGTTGTCGGGGACCAAAATGGCAGGGAGCCCCACAGCCCTCACCCTCAGTGGGCCTCAAGGGGACTTCTGGGGAGTTGGCGTACCGTGGGCCTTGCTGCTGCCCTGACTTGTGCTGTCAGGAAGAGGCAGTGCTGGGAGTCTACAATGGGCCAGGAGCCAAGGGCCTGTGTGCATGGGCCCCTTGCTCTGTCCCCCAAACTCTAACACTGAGGAGGACTTGGGTTTAAGCTGAGACTTTTCCTGGGGTGTTCCCTGAGCCCCCAGAGCAAAGCGCCAGGTTCTGGGGTTTGCACTGTCAGAATGATGTAGCTTCTTGTCCTTTTATGCTCGGGCTTGCTGCTGTGCTCCCATTTTGTCTCCTCTGCTGCACACCAAGTGTCCTGAGGACAGGGACCATGTCCCAGATACTTTGGTCTCCTGGCCCCGGCAGGGACTATACCCTCACCAGATACAGTATTTATGACGTGCGTGAAAACACATATTTGAGGGGTAACAGAACAGGCAGGTCGTGTGGCAACTTCAAGGGCATGTCAGCTAAGGAGGCAATAAGATTGAAGGGCATTTTGTCTATGGGACTGGACCCACAGAGGAACCTTGGGAGGGCTCGGAGGGGCAGGGCCACAGGACCACTCAGGCCAAGCCCTCATGTGTGTCAAGGCCAAGGAAAGGCAGGTGCCTGGCAGCTGGGGCAATGGACCCTCTGCACTGAGACCAGGGGTCTGAATCAGGAGTCTTGCAGCATCTAAGCAGGCCACCTTGGCCTCTGCATCTATGTCCACGGACCCCACTGGAAAAATTGGTGAGAGCACACGTTTATGGCCTGGTGCAGTCTCTCCTGAGAATGGAGACCAGAGGGAAGGCCAAACTGAGCCACGCCTCGATGGGGGAAGAAGTGGAGTAGACCCTCAGAGAAAGGCAGGAAGCAAGGAGTCGTGCTGCCTGAGGAACCCATCCCCGTAGGCCCACGAGGGCCTTGTCCTCTCTGCCCGAGACAGTCAGCACAGCCACTGCTCCTGGGACGCAGTCTTCCCCGAGGAAGACAGACGTGAAGTGTCCCTTGACAATGCCCAGGTGCCTCAGGACTCTGACGCCCAAGCTGTACCCTCACACACGCGCTGATGCTTCCAGAGGTTGTAACGCACACTGTCACGGCACGCACAGCAGAACCCATGCGGGAAGCCGGCTGCCTTCTCTCTGGCCAGGTATTAAAAAGGGTTGTAGAAGTGGCAACGATGCCACTCCTTTCGCTAAATTTTGTTTTGCAAAATATGGCTATTTTCATGAAAATATTTATATTAACACATACAGTATTTGTTTTTCATTTGGTTTTGTTTTTTACAATAGCTTAATAAGTATTTTAAAATTTTCTCAGTTTTAACTTCTGGTAAACGCTGATAGGTGTCGCCAATACAAAAAGCTTTTTGGGATCCTCGACGACTTTTGACTAGAAAGGGTCCTGAGACTGTGCAGGAGCTCTGTCCGGGAAGGACGTCAACACCACAGCGGAGAGGGGCTCTCTAGGCCTCCAGCCGAAGTTGGGCATCCAGGGCAGAGCCAGGCCCTCTCCTTGGCTGATCCGCATGTTCTCATCCCCCCCCCCCACTAGGCCCTGCCTGCCTTCCTCTCAAGTGGGACTCCTGCCTCACCCACAGGCTTCAATGCACCCATCTGCTTGGAACCCCCTCCCCGTATTGTGTCTGCGGGTGTCCTGTCCACTTACTGTGTCTCTAGCACAGAACGTCAGCTCCGGGGGGCAGGGCCTTGTCTTCTCGCTTAAGTCAGTGTTCCCCGTGTCCAGCCCCGGTGCTGCAGGGCCTGGCTGGCGGCAGCCACTTAGTACTTGGGTTTATCGGATGAGTGAGTGGACAACTCCTTGCCTTTGTTCTTGCTGGTTTTTTGAGGGAGGGGTTACCTGAAACAGCCCCTTCTCCCCTGCCTGGCTGCCTCCTTCTCACCCTCCAAGATTTGGCCAAGCCCTATGCCTTCCTCTGAGCTGCACTTGTCCATGGGGTTTCTGTGGGCCAGGAGCTCCTGGAAGGCAGCCTCTGACTGTTCTGTCCACATCCCAGCGCCAAGCACAGAGCCGGGGTGTTTCCGGTGCTCAGGCAGTCCAAGACATCCTCAAAAGCCGGAAGATCCAGCTGAAATGACCCCTGATCAAGAGGCAGACCTGATAAAGACTGTGGCTGCACTGATTAAGAGTGACAGCCCGATTCCTGCAGAGACTTGATGATTTCGAGGGGCTCTGGGTCCCCAACATCCCCTCCCAGAGCTGTGTAGCCTCACCAAAGGCTCAGAAGCCCAGGCACACAGAGCCTTTAATGGTACTTGCTTAGAATTAGCTTTCTAAACGGTTAAGTTCTAGAAAAACTTACGTAAGAACGCCTTTTCTTGTGATTTTATGGGGAACAATTTGGGCAACAGCATGAGTGTAGGCTCTGTAACACTGGGCAGATCACCTCACCTCACCTCTCTGTGCTCAGGTCCCTCGGTCAAATGGGGCTATCACAGTAATGCCTGCCTGGTGGGGGTGGGGTCTCCACAGAGACCTGGGCCCTGCACTGGGATCCAAAAAGGTCTCAGGAAGGGCAGGCCCTTTGTGTTTAGAAGACTCGGGTTCCCCGCAGGCTCTCGGAATTCAGCAAAGGCTGAGAAAACATGCCTTCACTGGCTTCCCCAAGGATGGCTGCTGAGCCTCATCTTGGCAACTACCTGTCAGGCTCTCTGACAACCTGGCGACGCCCCTGCACTGCTCAGCTCCCTGGTGTGGGTCACCGCTTTCAGAGCAATGACCATGGTGACAGGCCTGCGGAAGACCTCCCCTCCCCGAGGAGACCACATTTTCATCTATAGGTGGAGGAAGAGAAGCTGTTTGAGGTGGGGGGGAGGGGGGTACAGGCAGTGGGGACGCCCAGGCCCGGTGAGGTGGGTGCGGCTCGCGAACAGAAAGATGACTAGTGTGGTTGCAACGTGACTCCAAGGGGTCCGGGTCTGACTGTAAGCGAACAAGGAGGTGTGGACGGATTTCAAGCAGGAGAAGCCACAAAGGTTGGACTTTGAAGGACAATTAGAAGGGGGTGACGGCAACAGAGGCAACGCACTTCAAATCCTTGTTGGCCCCTGGGATTCTGGCTGGAACAAATGGGGAGGGAAGGTATCAGGGCTAGTGGTGGAAAGGGGAAAGACGGGACAGATTTTTATGGGAAAGATCCTTGGTTTCCCCAAGTGCGGGGCCCCTCTCTCCTGCACCGCAATAGGAAGTCTTGGCAGTTTGCCTTTTTTTTTTTTT